CAGTCGGAAGCAAGGAAAGGATGAGTTCTTTGGAGACATCAGAGATAGGGTCTTTACACCTTTAAACACCATTTAGAAGAAGATCTTGAAGCAAATGCAGCCCTGATTCTCCTTTAAGTTTTTTACCAATAAATATTGCCAAGCCAGAAGTTGGGTATTTAACACAAAAGAATATACCAGAATGGGAAACTCCCAATTCTTTGCTGAGTGCTTTGAAAAGAGCTTAGGACAAAACCAAAGTGGAAATCTGAATAAATTTATGGCCTTACAAATAAAACATCTAGATGCTCCCACACTAGTCATTCAATTCCAAAGGAGGGAGTCTCTTAATAAAGATAGTGGTAGATATTTAAAAAAATACATTACTAAAAGAATTGCCCTGTATTGACTAAAAAAAAACAGAGAAAATATAGTCTTCCTTTGGTATCTATGAGGAATTGGTTTCAGGATACAAAAATTTGCAGATGCTCAAGTACTCAATATAAAATGATATAGTAATTGCATATAACCCACACGTAACTTCCCATATACTTTAAATAATCTCTAGATTACTAATAATACCTGCAATAGTCCACATTCACACTACTATAGATTCTTTGAGACTCGGTAATTTGTAAAGGAAAGGGGTTTTATTGATTCACAGTTCCACATGGCTGGAGAGGCCTCAGGAAACTTACAATCATGGCAGAAGGCAAAGGGGACGCAAGAACCTTCTTCACTAGGTGGCAGGAGAGAGAAGAAAGCCAGCAAAGGAGGAAGTGTCAACACTTGTAAAGTCACCAGATCTTACTCACTATCATGAGAACAGCATGGGGGAACCGCCATTGTGATCCAATCACCTCCCACTAGATCCCTCCCTTGACCCATGGGAATTACAATTTGAGATGAGATTTGGGTGGGGACAAAAGGCCAAAACATATTATTTCACCCTGGCCCCTCCCAAACTCGTATTTCTCACATTTCAAAACAGTCATGTCTTCCGAACAGTCCTCCAAAGTCTTAACTCATTCCAGGATTAACCCAGAAGTTCAAATCCAAAGTATCATCTGAGACAAGGCAAGTCCCTTCCACCCATGAACCTATGAAATCAAAATCCAGTTAGTTACTCCTTAGACACAATGGTGTTACAGGCATTGGATAAATGTTCCCATTCCAAATGGGAGAAATTGGCCAAAAGAAAGGGGCTATAGGTTCCATGTAAGCCTGAGAGCCAACAGAGCCGTGATTAACTCTTAAAGTTCCAAATAATCTTTTTTGACTCCATGCCCCACATCCAGGGCATGCAGATAAAAGGGGGGGCTTTCATGGCCTTGGTTAGCTCATTCATGGGCTGGTGTTGACTGACTGCATCTTTTCCAGGTGCATAGTGCAAGCTGTTGGTGGATCTATCATTCTGAGTTCTGGAGGATGGTGGCCCTCTTCTCACAGCTCCACTAGGCAGTGAAGACTCTGTGTGGGGGCTCTAATCCCACATTTCCCTTGTGTCTTGCCCTAGCAGAGGTTCTCCATGAGGGCTCTAGCCCTGCAGTAGACTTCTGCCTGGACAGCCAGGATTTCCATATAGCCTCTGAAATTTAGGCAGAGGTTCCCAAACCTCAATTCTTTTTTTTTCTTTTTTAACTCTAGAAAATCAAACAATACAGAGGAGATATTCTGGTGTCTCTTCCTCTTCTTTTTTGTATATTTTATTTTGCTTAAAGTTACCAGATACATGTGCAGAACGTGCAGGTTTGTTACATAGGTACACATGTGCCATGGTGGTTTGCTGTCCTATCAACCCATCATCTAGGTTTTAAGCCCCACGTACATTAGTATTTGTCCTAATGCTCTCCCTCCTCTTTCCCCTTACCACCTGGCAATTCTGACAGTTCTGGTGTCTAATGTTCCCTTCTCTGTGTATGCTCTCATTGTTCAGCTCCCACTTATGAGTAAGAACATGCAGTGTCCAAACCTCAATTCTTGACTTCTGTATACCCACAGGCCCAACACCGCATGAAAGCTGCCAACGCTTTGGGCTTGCACCTTCTGACGCAATGGCCTGAGCTGTTTATAGCTATGGCTGGAGTAGAAGTGGCTGGGATGCAGGGTGCCATGTCCTAAGACTGCACAGAGCAGCAAGGACCCTGGGTCCAGCCCACAAAACCACTTTCCTCTCTTAGGCCTCCAGGCCTGTGATGAGAGGGACTGCCATGAAGATTCCTGACATGTCCTGGAGACAATTTCTCCATTTTTTTGGTGATCAACAGTTGGTTCCTCATTACTTATGCAAATTTCTGCAGCTGGCCTGAATTTTTCCCTAGAAAATGAGTTTTTCTTTTCTACCTCATGGTCAGACTGCAAATTTTCCAAACTTTTATGCTCTGCTTTTTGTTGAATGCTTTGCCACTTAGAAATTTCTTCTACCAGATACCCTGAATCATCTATCTCAAGTTCAAAGTTCCACAGATCTCTAGGGCAGAGGCAAAATGCCACCAGTCTCTTTGCTAAAGCATAGCAAAAGTGACCTTTACTCCAGTTCCCAGTAAGTTCTTCATCTCTATCTGAGGCCACCTCAGCCTGGATTTCATTGTCCATCTCACTATCAACATTTTGTTGAAAACCATTCAACAAGTCTCTAGGAAGTTCCAAACTTTCCCACATCTTCCTGTCTTTTCTGAGCCCTCTAAACTGTTCCAACCTCTGCCCTATCCCAGTTCCAAAGTTGCTTCTGCCTTTTCAAGTATCTTTATAGCAGTACCTCACTCCTGATACCAATTTACTTTATCAGTTCATTTTCACACTGCTATAAAGAGCTTTCCTGAGACTGGGTAAAGGAAAGAGGTTTAATTAACTCACAGTTCCACATGGCTGGAGAGGCCTCAGGAAACTTAACAATCATGGCAGAAGGCAAAGGAGAAGCAAGCACCTTCTTCACAAAGTGGCAGGAGAGAGAACAAAGCCGGTGAAAGAGAACTGTCAACACTTTAAAACCATCAGCTCTCACGAGAACAGCATGGGGGAAACTGCCACCATGATCCAGTCATGTCCTCCTAGGTGCCTCTCTTTACATGTGGGGATTACAATTCAAGATGAGATTTGGGGACACAGAGTCAAACATATCATTACCCAAGGCAATGTAAATTCTATATGAATATCTGTTAAACTGTATTGTTTAGAGCATAATGAAGAGAAAAAGAGACTATATGTTCAGTACAGATGTAAATTTTTTGAAGAATATTTTCAATTTGAGGTTGGTTAAATCCATAGACATAAAGCCCATGAATGTGGAGGGCTGACTGTATGTAAAAAATGCAGTGATTAATCAATGAATTGCTCAGAGGGAACTTTAAAGATTAAAGGAGCCCTTCTAATTGATTTATTTGAAATAAGTGCTTCTATCAATTGAATAATTTTTAAAATTCCCAGAAATTAAAGAAATTCAATAATACTTTTACTATGTTAAGGACGATAGTCTTATAGAAACTTAAATGGTCTAAGGGTCTAAATTTACATACTTTCAGTGAAATTTTACAAATGAGACTACTTATTTTTGGCTTAATGAAAAAGTTATATTTTCTCTGATTTATCAGGTAAAGTATCATAAAAGCTTATGATTTTATTCTAATTGGGTATGTTTTTACACTTATACAGGTTAACTGATCAAATAAACTAGCCTTACTTCTATTTAATGCTTATGGTTATGAAAAATATACATTTGTGTTTATTCTGAAAGTTTTACATCAACAGTAATTATGTTTTATAGTCTATTAGACCATTAATTTCCAAGATATTTAGAACTATTAAATTTAGTTAATGAATGGATATTCATTAGATGACTATATAATTTCTGAGTAAGACAGCATATTGAAACATTAATTATGAAGCATAATTTAAAGTTTATATACTTTTGCTTCTTATTTTTCTATGCTATTATTGTGCCTGTTAATGAATGTAATCATTTTTGCCAGTTTTCTCTGGGAAATAGAAATTACTTTGGTTAAAAGTTATAATTGAATATACCTGAATGAGACTCTAATAGAATAGTCTTGGCAGAGGGGTACATGTTTTTATGCAAGGTAATAAGATACGTTTTTGTTAAGAGAAAAAGATTGTAAAAGAAGAATGTTATATGTAAAAGATGTGTAAATGCATCTGAAAAGCTACAAAGTGTGTTAGAATCTTAGCAAAGTTTGTACAATTTTGATGTCCTTGTTTCCTTTCCTTTACTGCTTATTGCGTTTACCTGTAATATAAAGGCTTTTTATTTATTTATTGTCTCATTGACTTGTCCTCTAGGAAAAGGAGACCTGTAGATCTTCAGTTCAAGGGAATTCTGGATTTTTAATTTTTGCCCTTTCCTTAGGCCTCTTTATTCATGCTTATAAGAGGTCTGAAAAGTTGGAGGAATCCTACCTGCTATGGTTAAGAGAACAGCAATCAATTTAGGCAATGCCATGAAAGCCACTGCAGGGTACCAGAATTGCCACCCCAAAATATGGCACTTTGGCACAATAACTATTTTGAGCTGAAGGAAACTGAGAAATAGCAGGCACAGGAAGAATTCTCTGCTCTCCTCTTTTTTGCTTGAAAGCAAGACATATTTCCCTTTGTAAAACTGACATAAATTTCTATTTGTAAAGGTATTCCCTTCCCCTGTATTAGGAAGACAAAGAAGACTCTCTTCATAACAAACCTTACTAAACAACCCTTATTTACCATGCATGTTCTAGTCACCTTCCCATAATTTACTGCCCCTAGGAGCCCAAACCCCCACTTTCCTTTGTCTTGTCTCTCACACAGGATTTATTTCCTTGTCTCTCACACAGAATTTATTGTCCATTGTTAAAGCGGTATATAAGCCCCCAGGGCTAACTGCTTCTTTGGGGTCTTCACTTCTTTTCTAAGAATGCCTGTCTACATAAAAATTAAAATATTAATGTATTAACATCAAATACAATTTGTATGCCTTTTCCCTCATTTAATCTTTTGTCAGATTAATTCACAAGTCCCACTCACAGTACCTGAGAGTAGAGAAACAGTTTTGTTTTTTTTTCTCCTCTGAGCCAGGGAACTCCTCATCCAAGAGGATGATGAAATTGGACAAGCGGTGGTTCAGGACAGAGCTGCTTTAGACATCATATTGGACTCTGGAGGAAGAACATGTGCTGTTTTAGGAGAAGAATGTTATATGTAAATCCCTGCAGACCTCTCTTAGATTTTTAATATTAATGAAAAGATCTGGGGAAGTAAACAAATAAATCAGAAAATTAGGTCATTTTGTTAATGACTCCATGTCTGGTTCTATGAGCTCTTCAGATTAGGGGATGGAATCTGTTCTTTTAGTGTAACCTGGATGCCCTTGGCTCCTGACTGAGAAGCGAGGAACAAACTGACCATAATTCTGGTTTAATATTTGTCTGTGTCACAGGGTTCACATGTGCTATCTCTGGAGTCATAAATGCTGTTGCTCGGTGGCTGTCCCATCAAATGTTCTAGCAAAAGGAAGGCAGAAAGAACTGGAAAATCCAACCCTTGTAGAGGTTGAAATGACCACATTCAGAAACTTAGATGCAATAATGGAATCTTGATATGCAATTATGACACCTCTAACAGTGGTAAATATATGAATTGATTACATCTGTAGAAATCAATGGTTTATCCTTCAACTGAGTCTGAAGAATGACCTCAGGAGGGGCTGAGAACAGAAATCTCCTAACCTCATATTCAGGCTGGGTGCCGAGAACCAAACACACCTTACTCTGCATTATCATGACTTTGTGCTATTCTTCTGTCTTCATTAGAGGTGGCTACCCAGGCAGATGTTCATTATTGAAACTTCCTGAAGATTCTTCACGTCTCTTGCTTTCAAATTGTCACCTTGCTGTTTCTGCCAATTCTGAACTGTTGTACCATGAACCTTACCCAATCCTAATCAAATCTCTGCTTTGAAAGCCCACCTTAAAAAAACCTTTGATGCTTAAATTCTAACTTTTTCTTCCTACAAGACATGGCCACAGCTTTGCTAGGTGGTATGGTTAGAGTAGGTAATTAGGCAATGGTGAGCAGGGCAGGAGAGCCCCATGAACTCCCAGCCCAAGAATGTCAGGTGACCATCAGATGATGGTTAGGTGGTTGTTAAACTGTCTCTAAAATAGTAATTGGTCCCAGCCAGCACCAGGGAAAGGCAGTCTCCCAATAGATAGAAAACACCTGAAGCTGGTGATCCGCAGCTTCCCGATAAAATCTCAGGACCTGGGTGAGTGGGTTCAAGCATGCGCATGAAAAGGCAAAATGGTGGCGTTTAACTGGTAAATGACCTTCTTCTAGGAACGCTTGACTGGTAAGGGAAGAACGCTGCATATGAGCATGTGCACAACTAAAGTAAACACGCTGAGCATGTGGCGCCCCCAAGTGCTGGCGGGCCCATACGCATGCAGAATGCCAATGTATATAAAACTCCTATTAAAGGTTAAACTGCAGACTTGAATTTCTCAAGTCGTGCCCTTGGGCCTCTCTCTTACAAGTGTACTTTACTTTCTTTCATTCCTGCTCTAAAACTTGCCTCAGTCTCTCACTCTGCCTCATGCCCTCTCCTTTGCCTTATGTCAAATTCTTTCTTCTGAGGAGGCAAGAGTTGAGGTTGTTGCAGGCCCGTATGGATTCGCTGCTCCCAACAGGGCTTTCCTTTACTGCAGTAAGCAATGAACTCAGCTTTGTCTTATCAAGAGGTTGTGTCTGTGATATTAGTGGAGCCAGCCTTTGACAGATGTTACAATTGGTTTAAAGGAGAAGTCAAACCACAGAGACTTTTATAGATCAGAAATAATCAAATAAATTTGCAAGTGACCGCAAAACCAGCTTTATTGTCAGGGGTAGGGGGGCGGGGAGGAGACAGGTTCTTGCTCTAACAGACAGGATTTATTTGCATGTCTATAGACAAAATTACTGTATATAAGTACTGTGATTACTACAATACTTAGATAAATGACTGCAACTTAATTAGGCAGTAATAAAGTTACAGAGCTCCCATGGAATCAGAATCAGATGACCTGGAAGGGTATACCCTAGACAATGCCTAGTTTTCCATTGAAGCATATATTTTTCCCAAACTAGGTGCTTGGTGTGCTGTTCTAGGGCATTTCCCAGACATTATTCTGTTTAATCTTTACCACACCCTGCAAGATGAATATTACAATTTCTTTTTTTCAAAATGAGGAAACTGAGGCTCAGTGAATTTTTCAAAAACCACAAAAATGCTCTAACATGTGTAATATATTTGGGTTAATGCAAACATATGGAGAAGAAAAAACTGAAAATCTTTGAATGGCAAGGAGAGAAAAGGATTACTGGTGTTGGAAACAGGAAATGGGTTTATAACATCGGGAAAAGTCCACACCGAGACAATGGATTACTCAGCAAGGCTAGTTTACTTCCTGCAGGAGGGGTACAACTCGCTGGCAGTCTTGCCACGAGAGCACACCTGAACAAGGGAGACAGGGACTTTTATAACTTTCATAACCTGACACAATTGCCCTACTGCTGTGTCCAGTTTCCATTGGCTGGAACGGGACCTCACATTCTATGCTTGATCAGATTGGCTAAAAACTTGGAAATTTTCTAAAGAAGTAAAGGCAGAGGAGAACAAAGGAAAACAGGAAGTAACTTGAGGAATGCTTAGAGAAGTGATAACATTTCCAAATAAGGAAGGAGAATAAGCTTTGTCCTAAGACTTGCCTGGGCTTGTCCAGGCATGTCAGGGCAAATATCTAGATTAAAGTGTAAGAACTAAGAACACAGGATGCACTTCTTTATTATGGCTAACAGCTACTTTATTAGCAAAAGCTTTAAAATGAATTAACCTTTGAAGAAACCATTATTTATTCATAATGAACTAAGAGGAAAGCTTTGAACAGGAACCTTTTATATATTCTCATTTCCTACACTGGGTATCAGATGGCTGGTTGCTATCCTGTACTTTAATTTGGATTCTTTAAGTTCATAGTAGGCTGTACCTTTCCCTGTCTTTGAGCTATTTAATAACTCTGTAAATGAAAAAAGAACCACAGTAATGTAAATGATTCTCATCCACAGTCAATGCAAATGGATATTTGGTGGCGAAAAGTAGTCCTGCATCTACTAACAAACGCATTTCCTCATTGCTGGACATTTCTGATTGCCTATGTCTGTGTCTGCTCTTTGAATTCTCCTTTGAACCAGTTTATCACCTTAGAGTTTCCTTATTAATTGGTGAATAAAATAAAACCTTTGATATGTGTTCATTTTCTATTTGTATGACAGTCATGATTTTTACTTTTTGGGAAAATGTCTTTTAAAAAACAGTCAGAAATGAGCTTAGCTCTGGGGCCACTTAATGTTCTAGGCCATAGGGAAGGTTAGCAGCTAATCTAAGGCTCTCCCTGCTCTGAAATTATTAGATTTTGTAACCACATACCTGACATTCTTAGAGTTGCATGTTAAGCCATCTATTGTTTTCTTTCCAGAGCTATCTGATAGCACAGGCTGTCTGTGAAACACAGTCTGAGCAATTAGGCCTAGCTAACGTCTTCCTGACTGAAATGCCAATACAAATATCTGACAGAAGCAAGTGATTGAAAATAAATAGGGGCTATTTAATGGAAACTAATTTGGTATTACAATGGAAATAGGTGACTTAATGCATTCTAATTCCAGTTAAATGTGACTAATTCCAGTTAGTGTTTGAATTTCAGATACAGTTAACTTTAACCACTTGAGTCCTTGGAAGTTTCACAGATGCCTCTATAGTTATACTGTAGAGATGTCTAGATCGTCACATGTTCCCGTTGGGGCCATTGTGACCTTGTAACTCCTGCTTCACCGTCCTGAGACCTACATCATTAATCACTCATAGAGTGTATTAAAGTTGAAATTCTTAGGTTAAAAGCATCAAAAAATTCGGATGTTTTCAGAAAATAGAGTATTAGTCAGAGTCTTCTTTGCTGCAAGTAATGGCAAAGTCAAACTAATTTAAGTAAAAAAAGACTTTGTTGGGTCACATGGCAACTGTCCAGGGGCTAGGTGAGTTCAGGTCTAACTAGATCCAGGGACTCCAAACATGTCATCAAGACCCGATATTTCTTCTTCACTGTGTTCTCCTTCCTTTGGATTGACTTCATTGCTGATGGCCCTCTTCTGCTGATGGCCTTAGGTTATTCCTGGCTGGCAGGGTGGCTTCCCCAAGACCAATGGGAGAGTCTGGTTCTTACCAACTCTTTCTGGTTTTTCAAACAAAAGACTCAGGATTGGCTCCAGTTGGACTGATTGCCATGACTTGGCATACGTGCCCATCTCAGAACCAATTGCTATGTCTGGGAGGATGTGATGTTCTGATTGGCTAGGTTTGGGTCATATGTCCAGGAATATAGCTCATGGTTGAACACCTACCTCTGTATTCTACCCAAAGTATAAAGAATGAGAATGGAGGAGGGGAGACTACCCAGAGGAAAATCCAGGGAACTTCACTATGGGAAGCCCAAAACACCGTGTAAACCAAAAATCAAATTCTAAGACCACCCCAGCCATCTAAATGGACCCCTCCTCTTGGCCAAGGGCATTCCAGAGTTGACCTGAAAATTTGGTTCAGGCCATGATGGAAGAGGAGTCAGACATGCCTCATTATACCCCTCCAGCATGACGTGAACACGGACCTTAAGTCTGATAAGAGACATTTACAATCTATTCTCTCTGAAGCCTGCTACCTAGAGGCTTTATCTGCATGATAAAACCTTGGTCTCCACAGCCAAGCAGAAAAAATTTAAATCTACTTCTGACCTGGAAGCCCCCACCTGTGGAGTTGTCCTGCCCTTCTAGATCAAACTGATGTAAACCTTACGTGTATTGATTGATGAATACATATTATGTCTTCCTAAAAATGTATAAAAGCAAGCTGTGCCCCAGCCACCTTGGGCACGTGTTCTCAGGACCTCTGGAGGCTGTGTCACGGACTCGTCCTTAACCTTGGCAAAGTAGACTTTCTAAATTGATTGAACTTGTCTCAGATACTTTTTGGTTCATACTGCATAGGAATTGTAGTATCAATTCACTGAAGCCCTCAGGTTAAAACTTGCCAAATGGCCATACTTCTTGAGGGATCTCTCTAGGGGACAACTGTGTTGTTAATTGGTATTAAAAAAAAACCCCATCCATTTATTTGATCGATTAGCACTTACTGAGAAGTTCCTATGAGACTGATCCTAAACTTTAAGTTAGGGATGCAGAAGTAAAAACTATATCACTGCTGTTAGGCGTCTGTAATAGTCCAGGGAGCTCCCTGGTTAAGGCAATGTTAGTTTTTAGTTGCCAAGCCACAGTGACATGAGTTGGACAGTCCGACTTCCAGTGAGGTCCCTGCACAGACGGGGCAGGGCTTAGGAGGAATCCCAGGCTGTGGGCGTTCCTTGGCCCAGTGGCCAGGTTTTTGACCCTTGAAGCAAGATCTGGGAGAGGCGACTGGATGCTGCAGTCTGGGCGCTTTGAAGTCTTTGTGAGCTGGTGGTATGACTGGGGTTTGTCTTACGGCAGAGGGAAGCATCTATAGTTCTGAGATGCGCTGCCACTGAGCAGCTTCTTCCCTATTGTTGAACACTTGAAGATGAGGTGGATTAATTCCTGCTGTGAGGTTTGAGGACCAGATTCTAATTTCTGTAGTTGTTTAATGTCAGGGGTTGATTGGGTGATAAACAGTCTTCAGAGATGAGAGTAGAAGTAAGGATGACATTAAGTCACTCCAGGTGAGATTGTAGGACTGGGTTAAATATCAGAACTCTTGTATATATTTAGCAGGATCTAATGAGAAGGAGCCTAACCACTGGCCAGATAAAGAGAAAGGAACGTACACCCTAACTGTGCCTTCGGCTCCAGCCACCTCTCGAAGGGGGACTTGTTGGGCGGGATGGAGGAGTTAGTCGCAGGGTATGAGGTGGGAGGAGACAGGAGGGGCATAAGGAGATGGGTTGTGGGCAGAGGAAGAGGAGGGAAGCTCTGGGGGGCGGTGTTTAGGGCCTGGATTAGGGCCTGGTTTGCACGGGTGGGGAGGAGAAAGGTCAGAAGGGTTGATGGACAAGGAGGATTCTGGGTTGCTGGCAGAGGCAGGAGGGGCAGACGGAAGGGAGAGAAGGAAAATTTGGGACAGGTGGTATTGACAGCAGAGATTAGGGAGGGATTGGAGTGTAAAAAAAATGCCTGGACATCAGGCATCTTAGACCATTTGCCCATTCATTGACAAAAATTGTTTAGGTCTCGCAGAATAGAAAAATTGAAAGTGCCGTTTTCTAGCCATTGAAACCATTGTGTAACTTGTATTGAGGCCAGGCCGTGTTACAGGAAAAAAAATGAGACGTTTAGGTTTCAGATGCGGTGACAGTTGAAAAGGTTTTAGGTTTTTTAGGATGCGGGCTAGAGGCAAAGACTGAGGAATAGAGGGTGAATATTGCCCCTGGAGAAGGAGGTAAATTTTAAGGAGAGGAGTAGAGACCAAGAGAAGGAGCAAACAGCTACCAGAGTTTTCAGCAGGCGTCCCTGACTGAGTCCTGGGCTGTAACGTGGGTGAGTGATCAAGGCAGGCATCCCCACGATTGACCAGACACCAAGGGAAGACTGTCTTCCCGAGGCTGTGACCAATGTTGAAGTTTTTGAGAGGGAGAGACTTGTCTCCTCTGTCTCTACACAGATAAAGAGTATCTCCTTTGTCTGTACTAGAAGGAGAAGAATTTAAAGGAAAAGAGAGAGAAAGAGGGAGAGAGTTGTCTTCTTTTCTCTAAAGGAAGAGAGAGAGAAAGAGGGAGAGACTTGTCTCCTTTTCTCTAAAGGAAAAGGGAGAGAGGGAGAGAGAGACTTCTTACCCGATATGAAGATGGCAGAGCTATTTGGCATGCTAAACGTGAGCTGCTGGTCAGGTCTGATGTGTTGAGGTCTTAGGTGGGTCTCTTCCCACAGGGGAAGCGGGGACAGGGGGTGAGTCTGCCCAAAGGAGTACCCCTGTCCCAGGTTTTGGCACCAAATATTAAAATATGCGCTGAATGAACACACTCCCCAAACAGGCTTTGTGTGAGCAACGTGGCTGTTTATTCACCTGGGTGTGGGCGGGCTGAGTCCAAAAAGAGAGTCAGTGGAGGGCAGGGGTATAGGAGTTGGTTTTATAGTTTTGAGGTAGGCAGTGGAAAGTTACAGAAGTTAACAGTTTAAGGCAGTTTTAGCAAGCTGGGACGGGGTCGTAGGGTCTGGAGTCACAAGGTTGGCCAAGGTCGGTTACAAAGTCCAATTGCCTTCCCTCATTTGAGGTGGAAATAAGGAACAACAGAAAAATGTCTCAAAGTTAATTACGTGCCACAGGGGTTGATAATTTCTTCTCCTTTTGTGGTTTTCCAGTTACTTCGGACTTTCTAATTCTGGGAGGACATCCGGAGATGTACATGCGGGTCACGGGGGTCGCCATGGCTTGACTTAGGATATGACATATAGTGCAGACAGTTCAAAGAACCTTGCATTAGGGATAGCATAATATTATTGCCATTTTTATCAGGGTCCCTGGTCATTGTACAACCAAGTGAGAGTAGATTTTAGTGGAAAATCTTCAGGTAAGGTTCTACAGAACATGAAGGAGTAGATGTTTAAATGTGTTGGATACAATCTATTCATATTATCTATTTGCATTTGCCCTGTATTTCCAAAGTTATCTTTCAACTAGTACCTCATTATCTCTTGTTCATTTGGAAGCAATCTATAGTCTGTTAAGATTGTCATAGTGAAATACTTCCAACAGAGTCATGTTTGATCTATCCATTGTGACCCATGCTGCCTGTTTACAGTGTGGAGAGTGAGCGGATACAGTATCTTCAACTAGTCATTGGCTGCCTAGTGAATCACTCCATTATCACTCACCTTGAAAATTGTTCTCAGTGTGTTGTTTATCATACCATTAAAAAATACATGGTCAAAAAAATTCCATTAGAAGGAATTCCAGGGTTTCAGTGTGCTCATTGTTGGACAAGCAATTGTTCTGGTAACTCGAGTTGTACATGATAAGACTCAGGTCTTGCTGTGATAAGTGCTAGGAATAAAGGCTACATGGGACCCTGCAATTCTATAGAGGACCCCAAGGTAGGCTGATGGTTGGAGAATTCCCTGAAGGCATTGGACACAATGTTTAAAGGATAAAGAGAAAGAGGAATGAGTCAGGTGAAGGATGTGGAGATATGGTGGGTGTAGGAAATTCCTTGTGGTGGGAGAGGGCAAAGTTGTTAGAAGATGGTAATGTTGATATTTAAGAATGTAATGGATGCTTTGCTAAATGGCTAATGTGAATTGGGTCATTTAGTACTTACAGCAATTGTGTAAAGTAAAAATTGTTATCACCATTTTCCAGATGGGGAAATAGACTTCCTAGCTATCCCACCCGCTTCCCCTAACCTATACACAAAAATTAAGTAAGTTGCTCAAAGTCACACAGCTAGAAGAGGCTGAGTCAGGATTTGAATTGTAGGGTATTTAATGCCAGAGGTCCTGCTATATTACAGGGATTTCTGGGGAGGAAAAAAAAAAAACTCTGCTATATTACAGGGATTTCTGGCTGGAGCTCAGGGAACTAGGGGAAACAGTGTGTGAGCTAAGACTGAAAAAGTAGTTGGGGGTCAGGCAATGGAGGGACTTGCAGGTCTAGGGCCATGTGAGGCCGTCGAAGGACTCTGATGTGACTTGATTTTTGTTTATACGATCACTCTAGCTGCTGGGCTGAGAACTGACTCTAGAGGGCAAGACTTGAAGTTGGGAGACTGGTGAAAAGACTGCAGCAATAATTCAGGCAAGAGCTGCTGCTCATTGGACTAAGGCATGGCAGTAAAAATCAACATAAATGGATAGACTTAAGGACATTTAGGGGATAAAATTGCCTGGACTTGGTGATTGGTTATGGGAAGAAGGTAAAGGGGAGCATCATGGGTGACACCCGGGAAACTGGCTGATGGAACTAGATGGATAATGATACTATCCACTGAATTGGGGAGACAGACCGAAGCCATGTTGGGGTATAGGCTTGGGCAGACAAGATGTTGCATTAAATCAGAGACACAGTGAATTTAGGTTCCTCTGAGCTATAACCTTGGCAGTTGTAGGTGTTTGCCTGGAACTCAAAGAGAGGCCACAGAACTTAGATGGACATTTGAGTGCTGTATTAGGTTCTTAGGGCTGCTGTAACAAATTACCACAAACTTGGCAGCTTAAAACAACAGAAGCTTATTCTTGCACAGTTCCAGAGGCCAGCAGTCCAAAATCAGTGTGTTGGCAGAGTTGGTTCTCTCTGGAGGCTGCAAGGGATAACGCATGCCACGTCTCTCTCTCAGCTCCTGTTGGCTCCTGGCACCCCTTGGCTTGGGGCTACTTGACTCCAGTCGGCTGCCTTCATCTCTACATGGCCTTCTGCTCTGTGTGTGTCTATATCTCCTCCTTTCTTTTCTCTTACAGGAACACTCACCATTGGATTTAGGGTCCAACCTAAATCTAAGATAATCTCCTCTCAAGGTCTTTCTCTTAATTTCATCTCCAAAAAACCTGTTTTCAAATAAGATCACATTAATAGGCAATGGTTCATACTTGAACACATCTCTTTGGGACCACTCTTCAGTCCAGTATAGGTGCTATTAATGTAGAGATGTCACCCAAATCCTGGAGCATGCACGCAATTTCCTCAAGAGACAATGTAGAGGAGAAGAGTAGAAGGCATAGAGCAGAGTCTTGGAGAATTACATCATTTAATGGTTGGATAATGGTGGACAAGTCTACAAAGTGGAGTTAGAAAAGCGCCCCGAATGGTAGAAAGAACTCCAGAAAGTGAAAGTCAAGAGAAGAGTGGATTTCATGATGGAAGAAGGGAGCAGTGCTTAGAAATGATCACCAAAGTGCTAGGTACTTGCTTATAATAACATTGATCATTGGCCTTTACTGTTGCTAATCTAGGACTAATAATATATAATTATTTTCATTTTTCTCAATTAAAATGTAACCAGAATACCAAGCAGAATGTTAACTTTGTAGGAAGTTCAGCAGAACGTTTATAATTGGCAAAGAAATTATCTGGAGTTTTATTTTCCTTTTTTTTGAGACAGCATCTCACTCTGAAACCCAGGCTGGAATACAGTGGCTGCACATGGCTCCCTGCAGCCTCAACTTCCTGGGCTCAAGTGATCCTCCTGCCTCAGCCTCCCAAGGAGCTGGGGCTACAGATGTGTGCCACCATACCCAACTAATTTTTAAATTTTTTGTAGACATAGCATCTTGCCCTGTTGCCCAGGCTAGTCTCACACTCTTGGGCTGAAGCAATCCTCCAGCCTCGGCCTCCCAAAGTGCTGGGATTGCAGGTGTGAGCTACCATGCCCAACTGTATTTTCCTTTTTGGTGAAGAGAATCCAAGTAGCTTATCGCTCAAGTCTTCACAAATAACGTTTAATTTTTATGTAGGAAGTCAATTTATCCTTCAACCCTGGAGTGAACTAAAATGTAGTCCTGAATCTTGACTTTACAGCTATACTATAGAAATAACGCCCTTCTTTTGGTACTTTTGTGGCACAAAGATATTACCAGAGAGAAGATAAACATACATATCATGGACTCAGAAAAAGACATAGCACCATGTTCCTTTTGAGATAGCACATTGGATAAAAATGCTTTGGCAAAAACTAATTGCACTATAAAACCAAATGAAATTCCTGGTTGCCTGAACCAGTTGAATACTGGTTCTACCTTTAGCTAGGGATTCTTCTTCTCTATTTGTATAAGGTGTCTCCTGTTTCTTACTGAGGTGTTTTCCTGGATATGGAGGAAACAGATGGGGGTGAAGTCTTCTAGCTGGAGTAATGATGGGACTGGTGTACCCCATGGGTGAACAGGGAACGAAATCTATCTGACAGTGTCTGTGTAGGAAGTGAAAGTTGAGAGAAGTGAGTCAGATTCTGGGAGTCCTTGAATACCAAGTTCAGGACCTCCCGGTGGAAACAGTGGAATCTGTCCCAGAACGAAAATCTCTTTTCTCTACTTCTGTGGCTGTGATTCATCCTTGGTTTTCATTGCAAGTGCGGCAATCCAGGCTGTAGTTATTTGTGTTCCCACTGGGCTCATTTGGGAGTTTCTCTGGATTGAGGTCAGATTTTCATAAATCAACCTGGAATGCCTTGGCTGATATTGGGAGGAGTAGCTCAGGTGAAAAAAAAAAAAACAAACAGCAAGATCTGGGGTCTCCTGCTACTGCAGGCACTGTGGGGTCTACTCCCAGCAGCCATGGACTTTGTAACACACAGTGGGGCTGGGTCAAATGGGCCACAGTGGCAGAGTCCCTAGGAACCTGATCACAAGGGACCAGAGGGCTCATGTTCCTCCTTTGTGGATTTTTGATTCCCCATTTATTTCAGCCCAGAGGTACTCTGCAGAGATACATGCCTTCTGCCTTTATTATGTTCCTCTGGCTTGGGGAGTGAAAGAGATGGGGAACAGGGAGGGGGTTGCAGATGAGATGGGCTCCAAGGCTGGGATTTATAAGAACAGCCTCCCGGCGGAGGACGCCTGCATGAGGTGGAGGTATGGTTTCAATTCCGCTCTGGCAAGCCCGCGTTGGCAACACGTCGTTCTCTTTCAAGTCTCACAGTGATTCAAGGGTTTGTAGACAACTTTGTACTCTGGGTCTCTGCCAGCGCCCTGAAGAAACGACTCCCCTTGGCTTCCCGTTTTCTATCTCGCTGGCCCCAACGAAATTTAGTGAATAGTAACTTTTTTAAAAAAGGAAATATTGTGCTAAGTAAACCCAGGAGGACCTACACCACTGTGCATTTGGGGACTAATGTTGTCTTTTTGCATCTTTGTGACATCTCTCCCTTTGATCACATGAGAACAGCAATCACAGATTTGCACCGTTCTCTGGTTCATCCTGGGGAGTCACCACACACAGATGACAGGCTGGGAGGAATGGCTTGTTGTTGTTTGTTTTGTTTTTGTGACTACTAACCCATGCAAGGTTCTTGCTTTGTTTTTTGTATTAACCTGTCACCACATTTTCTGATACAAAAAACGTGTCTGTATATCATCTCTGATTCTCCAATATGCCATTTGTT